AGGGCGGCCTAGGACGGTGCAGCGGCCCCAGGAACCCCGGGGGCGCTGCGGGGGAGGAGCGGGGCAGGTCCACGCACCCTTCCCTGCACCGCCTCTGCCCCTCACTTCCGAGGCTCGGTTCCGCATCCACGCACCCGGTTCTTGCTGGGGGAAGCAGGCGCGCACTGTGCAAAAAAGGGGTTCGGTGCTGCGCGTCTCTCGAGGGAGCAAGGGAGAGGGAGCAGGTCCTTAAAACGCTCCCTGAAATCTTAGTGCTGGATCGGACCTTGACAACACACCCAATGACATGTGGCCCAGGTGGCTCCAACTCCTGGGGTTCTAACAGTGCTTGATAGAGTCTCTGTCCAACTTTGCTTCCTCCTCCTAAGCCGTTTCCACCTACAGCAGTCTTCATAGTCTTACTGGGAGGTGTGGATATCCAGAGGAGCACCTTCTAGAGTCAGGTGAAGACTGCCCCTCCTCACCATGTACCCTGTGAAGCCGCGGCTGCAGCTCCCCACTAAGACTCAGGCTCCCATGCTGGGTTATGGCAGGGCGTGAGGGTCCCTGAAGGAAGAGTAGGGGCAGTGAACAGAGCCCCAGGGAACCGACTGAAAAGGAGACAGCAGCGGGCTAATCTTTGGATTGTATCACAGTTTGAAATGCAATCCCAGGGTCCTACCAGTCCAGAGGATTTGGACTTTTCTCTCTCCTCCATCTGCTTGTGCTCAGCAGCTTGGGGAAGTGACCTAGCAGCTGGATTGGTTTGGGGTGAAGGGAGGGTGGTCAGGGGGAATTAGCTGGGTAGCTCTGCCTAGGGCCTGCTTGCTTATGTAAGAACTTTTAACAGCTTAGGGGCTAGGAAGCCTCCCCCTCCTTCACATACAGGCTGCCTTAGAACTGACTCAGGCATAGGCAGCCCCTCTCTTTCTGTCCTCTCTCCTGTGGTAGAAATCCAGCTGCTGGTATTCAGGGCTCAGGGTGAGGGAGGAGCCACAGTAGGGAAGAGAGTAGGCTGGGGCACTTGGGCGCTTTATGGAGGCAGTGCCTTGCATAGTTTCAGAGCCAGCGGTTTAGCTCAGTGGTTTCACCGCCTGCCTCAAAACAGCAAGGTCCCAAATTCGATCCCTGGTACAA